AGAGAGAGAGAGAGAGAGAAGGGGGAAGAGGGAGAGACAAAAAGAGAAGGGAGAGAGAGGTAGAGGGAGAGGGAGGGAGGGAGGGATGGGAAGAAAATTTTCAAATACTCACCAAAATAGGTTTGCATGTGTAATACATAAATGTGTCACTATAATGTATCATTATATTTATCTTACAACGTTTTTTCTTTTTGGTTTTTCTTCAGATATGTGCATGATCACACAGATCATGTGTGGACTGAGGTTTACTCTCAGTCACAGGGTCGTTGGTTGCATGCAGACTCTTGTGAGAATAAAATGGATACACCCCTAATGTACGAATGTGGATGGGGCAAGAAACTCACTTACATAATAGCATATTCCAAAGATGAATTAGTTGATGTTACTTGGAGATACACAGCTAACCAAAATGAAGTTCTTAGAAGAAGGAAAAAGTAAGTGAATCCCTATAGAATACTTAAGTGTGTATAAATAGTCAATGATAAAATTCAGTGCTTAGCAAATTAATGGTGTTAACAGTTCTCATTGATTGAATCAGGTGTAGAGAATCATGGCTTGTGTCTACAATCTTGGAAATGAACAAACAGCGTCAGGCAGCATTTCCAGAACCAAAGAGAAAATTTTTGGAACATCGCCTGGTAGCAGAAATAGCAGAATTCTTCAGGGCTGAAAAGCATTATAAAGAATGTACGAATTATGTCAGGTTATAACTAGTTATTATAGTTGAGAAATTATTTGATTTGGTAATTTTTTGTATTTTATTTTTCTTGATTTGTGCAAGTTGTTATATAAAAAAGATTTAATAGAAAGTTTTACTAATACAAAAAAACATTTTTAGCTGAAAATGAGGGTCGCAATTCCGGCTCACTCGCATGGCGTTTAGCACGAGGAGAGACACTATATGGAAGTTCACAAAACTACATCTTCAAACTTACAGAAAAAGAAGTGAACAAGAAAGAGTTCCTAGTTAAATATTCTCCTGCAAGGGATGAGTATATAAGGATCTCTTCAGATGGAGAAGTTCGAAAAGGATGGCAGACCGGAATTAAAGAAGTTAAAGACGTCTTCAGGAAGCATGAAACTGACTGGAAGACAGTATATTTAGCTAGATGTGGTGTGTCAAATCTCTTCTCTTTATGTATAGATTATTAACACTTCCAATATAGTGGAATATCAGCTTGCAGGGATCCCTGGTTCAAGAGAATTTATTATCAAACTTTCTCAGTTCTTTTTTTTCTTTTTGAGATATTGTACAGTGCACTCGCACTTGTTCCATAGCTAGATTTTTTTTTTGTGGGGGGGGGTGGGGGGGGATTTAAATGAAAGGGTTGATTTAAAGATATGTGATTGGTATTTAGAACAAAGTTGAGTTTAATAATGTGTTTCAGTTATCTTATTTTTCCTTCCCAGTACCTTGCTTGTTGTCGTGGGAGGGCTTAAAAGATGGAGATTGAGGTCCAATGTAGGGGATCACCTCTGCCTTGGGCCTCAGCCCTCGTCTCAACTAATTTTGCTTGGTCTTTTCTTCTCTCCTTTCCTCTTCTGTATTTTCTTCATCGCCTTCTATCTCATTCCAATGGTGTGAGAGCTATGCTGAAAGGATGCAAGGCTGGCTTTTTGTCAGTCATGAATGGCCTCTGGAAGCCATGGGCATGGTATTCCCTTGGTTAATTGCCTAACCCTTACCCTTTGTTCAGGCTCACCATGGCCAAAAATGAAGATTTTTGACCCTTAATAAGGGGCATTAAGGCTTGGCCCTTCTTCAACTATCCAATCTGAATTTGATTTTAATGGTTTTCTGAACCCTGCCCCTCCTTTGACCACGGCTCCGACCACTGATACTAATACCCCGTCTTCAACGTTTACTGAGCTTACTGACAACTCTATTCATTGCAAAACACCCACCCAGGTTATTACCTACCCTAACCTAACCTCCAGAAAGCAACCCTTCCTCTTTCCCAACATTCTCTCCATCTCCTACTGCACAGTCCTCTTCAATGTCTACCCCCCTCTTCCCTTATTACTACTCTTCATCCTTATTGTCCTCCCTCCCACAGAACTACTCCATTCCACACCACCTCATCTTCCTCTTGGCCTTATCCTTCTACTGCCTCTACATCTGCAAACCTTTTGAGTAGTCTCTTTGGCCCAGCCAAGTGGGAACAATTCTTTGTGATTCCCTCTACGGACCCCTATTCTCTGTCAACAATGCCTCCAAAAACAAGTATAGGCAAGGTTAGCTTTTGCAGTCACTCTGATCATTCACAACTTGTCACAGCTATATCTGAAACCCAGGCTCGTGCATTGTCAACCCTAACAGACCTCACTGGCAAACCCATTCCTGCCAAACCTCACCCCTCTCTTAACCCCTTGGACCTGAATGACATTTTGATGTCATTTATTTATATTTATATATTTATAAATATAAATAAATTCATTGAAAAACTTTGACTAAAAGGGAGGGTGATGTGAACATGCTGTCATTGGCCAAAATGGCAGT